GTCATAGTACAGTTATGTATATTATATATTACCTTTTTTTATACAATCTTACTTTAATATTTATGTAAAATAATGAATTATGTTTTTATTTATTTACTTATTTTACTAACAACTTGTAATCGAGAGCTGTGAATTTCTCTTTAATCTTTTTGAGAATTAGAATATATTTATAAACATAAATTTTTCCATCTAATGTATTTTTCCAAGGTTGCAGAACAAAATGTGGACCTTTCCAAATAGAAGAGCTTAGAACGATATTTGGTATCATTTTGTCAAATTAGATCAAAAGAAAGAAAAATGTCGGTATTATCAGTAGACAATTTCTTCCTTTTTGGGATCTGCCTCCAATCTAAAAATTTTCTTTTAAACTGTGCTTTGTAGTAGCAACAAAATATTGTTTATAATAATAAAATAATGTACTCTTTAACAAAAGCGAGTTAAATTTTCATTTATTTTTTAACTTTTTTTTTTTTTTTTAATTCCAGAATTTTTTTTAATTCCAGAATTTACTACTGTTCTATGTAGAAAGCTTTTTTTTAGGGAATCTAAAAAGTATAGTTGAAAGAAATCAGTCCAGGGAGTAAGTGGATTAAAGCAATCCCACACCTTGCTCAATTCTTCCTGTTTTTCCTGGTATCTTTGCACACCGTTCTTGAACCACACCTGCTCAGAGCTCATTCATCAAGGTCACTGTTAGCGTGCAATGAATCATTAAAAGGATATGATTCACTTCAGTGAGCAAATGGTTTTAATCTGATCCCTTAAAGAAGCGGTTTAGCCCATCTCTAATACTGACCACTAATTATACAATCACCGCAGACAGATGATGATAAACAGATTTGAATGAAACTTCACAGACCTTTATACACATGCAACAAGCGGCCGATTCTCATTCCATGCATGTGCAATTACTCTGTAATTCTAATCATTTGCATGTCTTAAACTCGCTTTATTACATTTTCTGCAAGTTCCTGTAAGTTGCATCTTCTTTATGGTGTTGCAATTTTCACAACCATAAGTGTAAATGCATACCTGTTTTTCCCCTGATGGAAAACGATACTTTTGCCAAAGGTTGAGATTTTTAGGAAAAGAAAAGCCTCCATGCACATATCAAAGTTTCAGAAGTGCAATGAAATTATGAGAGTGGGTAAATTTTTCCTTCTCGAATCCAGGAGTGAACACCCTGGGTATGCATATATAATGCTAGAGGCTTCCCACAGAAAGACGGACTTTTCGGAACATTGTAGCCAAATATGGGATACCAAGATTGTCACTTGTCACCTTTGTTCTCAGCTAATACTTGATTTTGGGGGAAATTTTTTTCTGAAATTACTTATTAGCGTAACCACCATAACAGTTTTTTACAGAAGAAAAAGGTGATTCAGTAAATTTTGGGATAACAACTTACAATGGATAGGGTTACCTAATGAAATATTATGCAAATGGTTGCCAGAGTTTGGCAACTTTTGAATATTTGGTGATTTCTACTAAGGCGGCTGTGATAATACACATATATAAGTACCATTTTTACTACTGTCACATTTTGTTTGGTAGCTAAAATATCGGCAGGAGATCATGCTCAAAATGTTGGAATCTTCTCCCTGTTTTTCATACCTATTAATCCTCCTTTAAAATTCCCTTCATGTTCCATCTACTCTCATTAGTGACATTTTAATGGTTTACACTTTTTTAAGTAGTGTGCTTAAAAAACAATGATCTTTGTTTCTATCATCTTTGAAATAGAACATTATACTGTACATTAAGGCTTAAATTCAGCCAGAGCATGAGCTACTTCTTAGTTTTCGAGTGAAACTGTAATCAGTCAGAACCCAAATAAATTCAGGTCCATTATTTCACAATTTAACAATTTAATAATAACATTTTCATTCATTTCAAAATTAGGTAAAATAGCAAACTTATTTTGGCTTCAGCAGAATTCTTTTACTTATTGAAAAAAAGGTATTTGTGTCTGTCCACTCTCAAATTTGACAGTTTTGTTCAAAATCTACATCAAAATAAGTTTGCTGGGCTAATCTTTGGAATATGGTAACAGGTAGTTTGGCGACATTTTGGTAAGGCGATAAAGGTTACTAGCTAGGACCTTTAGCAATAATCTGAGAAGTACAAATTTCAAATCGCAGATTATTTTGTCTCGGAGAAATGAGAGATCATGAGACCTGTAATGTAACATTTTCCGGAAAATTGCAATCGTAATTTTAGCTAATAAGAACTTAGGAACAATTTCGCTGCTAAAGTTATCGCCCCACTTATTTGTTTGGCGCTTTTTAGAAGAGTACGAAGAATTGGATTAGTGTCAATTTTCTTAGACTGTTTAAGTGAAAATAGGTCGATGTGTACATGGATAAAGTCAAGAGTGTGCGCAATGCCATTTTTGTGCAATTCTGGGATTTTTTTTAAGTGAAGATATGTCGACGTGTACATGGATACAGTGTATGTGCAATTCTTAAAAACACAGCAAGCAGTGGGCGATTCTGCACTTTCTCCCAATTTCGCACCTAATCTTCGTCATGATTAAGCCCTTTTGTTCCATAAAAGTTCTAGCAAAAGCATAATTCGGCTAGCAGATTGTTGGAAAAAATGTTGAGTAAAAAAAAACATGCCTTTACTTCGTGAAAACAAAATGGTGTCCCAAAAAAAAAACTAGCAGGTTGCTGTAGCAGGGTTGGTCACCAAATTTTCGCCAAAAAATCACCAAGTTACCATAATCTCAAGATTCACCGTTTGCTGTTTTGCCTAATTTTTGAGTTTCACATTGCTGTGTTTCTCTTTCAATTTTTATTTGTCTCTTTACATATTATGTAATGTTTATTATTTTAATAATGAATTATTTAACTATTTTAATAATCATTTAATTACTTAATTATTAATTATTTTACTACTTTATTCATTTATTTCTGTTTCTCTTTCCTGATGCCTTTCATATAATTCTCGTACTTTTAATCTTAGAAATTAAGCCCGAATTCAAACTTTAACTTCAGACAGACATGCATATTTAACAAATAAAAAATGTACAAACAAGGTTTTAAAGAACATAATATATTAAGGAACCTCTTCCGACCTCAAAGACATAAGTATACCTTCATCCCTCACTACAAAAAGAATCCTGCTTTTTGACATAAGCTAGAACTTTTACTTGTATTTACAAAGCATGTACTTTTGCTGCTGAACTTGCATGGTAGATTTAAATATAGAAGCAAACCATTAAAAATTAAATTTATATAAATTTGCATTAATAGAATTACAGTAAGAAAACTATGAATATTAAAAAATTATAAAGATTGATTCCTTATTTTGATTAACGTAGACTATTTCCATTAATTAGCAAATTCTTAAATGAACATATAATAATGACCACAGCATACAATTTAAACATGTTTATTATGATTCCAATATTTACCTTTAATAAATGGATTACTATGACAGTATGTTGAGAGAATATGACCATATGTTTTGTCATCTATAATTGATATTTTAAATTTCTTTAGCTCATTTTACAATTTTTTTAATTCAAATGTTAAATTTAATACTAAGTATTTGGATAATTATAAATGAATTTTTTTTTCATCAGTTAAGCAATAAACTAGGGAAATAATACATACAAAGAGATAAATTTGAAATTAGTCAAGAGTTTATTGATATAATTTTGACATGTTAAACATGAATTCTCAGTCTACTGTGTGAATTATGAAAAATATTGAAGCTATGAAATTTCATAAAACTAATTTAAGCATAAGATATTTATATACTGCAAATAGTATCACCCAAACCAAATATATACACCTTGAATATTACTTGGTAGAAAATGCAAAAAAAAAAAAAAAAAAAAGATAAAGTGTTAATGGAACTTATCAAAGAAATCGGAATCTAGTATACGCATTCTAAAACAAGCAATATTTTTTCGGGGGGGGGGGAGGATTATTAAGCTTTATATTTTTTCAATCACCTATTCAAGAACACTGCTAAAGAAAAATATTCTAAGATAATACATTAGTTCATATATATATTCATACATAAGTTCATTCTTATGTAAACAACGCTAAAGTTAAAAAAATTATGCACAAAATCTTACAAATTAATGGGAATAATTATCTTAACATTATTCAAAGGAATAAATAGCATATTACAAAATTCAACAAGCATTAAGTATGTATATAAGTTCAATACATATTTCTAAAAAACTGTCAATCATACCTTGAAGTAAATTGTAAGAGCACAAGTAAGCACTTTTGAAACACTAAAAATACATTTCTTTTGCATACTTACTTCTGTATTTCAATCTAATTTAATTAAACATGACCTCATGACCAAATTTACTTACTTCAAGTTACATAACTTACTTATAATTCTGAAGAATCATTTGCTTTAATAAAAGCAAATAGTAAAAAAGCAGCTTATATAATAATATTTTCTTACTCTCTACAATATGGATGTCATTCAAAATGCTTTCTTAAAAAAAATTGAAAAATTTATTCAAACTTGACACTTAACGCTTGATTTTCAGATTTATTTTTACAACATATTTCACCAAAAAACGTCCAATATCCATACTGGAATTCACGCAGGCAAATAAAAATCAGAAAAACATTACATTTCTGCATGTCATACGCAAAATTTTGTACTTAATCTTCTTAACAGAAACACAAAATTAATTAAACATTCTGAAATTTTGCTAACGAAAATATTTCAACTCAAATCTGTCAACATGTCTCAAATCAAACCTATCAGCAATGTTTCACAAACAAAGTTTTAAGAATTATACTAAATTTACATAATAAATTAAAATAGGAAAAATTACACGATACAAATTTTTATGAAAAAGGAAACAGCAAATAGCATAGGGCTTTAATGAAAACAGAATTAAGACATGCAGTTACCAAGAAAAAAAAAATAAAACATGCACTGACATTTTGAAGTGTACATCATTTAATTAGTAACTTTCAGAATATGCAATGAATAAAGATAAAACATTGACTACTTACATAATCAACTGTAGCCAGCAGCACTAACTACTAGAAAGTACTTTCAAAGCCTGATATTCATAGAGTACAAGTGAATATCTGAACCTTCACAGGCAAGACGGCCATGTTGGGTTCATGAGAAGTACATAGTATAGTATCCGTTCATATAAAAATTTCAGTTAATATGTTAAAGCTGATTAAACCACAAGAACAAAGGTGCAACTGCACTGATTTTAAAAAATTAGCACCATAAAAGTTTTCATTTCTCTACTCACTCAGCAAAGCCCAACAACAAATACTACAAGTGTTGATAAAACACGTTGCCATCCAAATGTAACTTATTTGTGCAAATAAAAAATTTGTCATATCGGGTCAAAAAGATAAAAGTTCCTTTAAGAAAATTAAAGCATAAGAAGAAAATAGCTTTTGATAACAGAACGATTCACTGAGTAACAAGTTTACTCATAAAAACTAGATAGAATACTAACGCATAACCTGACTTCATACAACCATAGATATAGTAATAAATATAATAATATAATATTATTATAATTAAGCATAAAAACCGAATGAAATCTGTTTCTTTATCTCAGTACTACAGGGCTGTGAGGGTGCAACATAGATCTACCTCCTCGTGGTGCACCCTGGAAAAGCTTTGCGGCTAAGTGATCTACAGTTTGGCATGCAGCCTTCCTACTACGCACACACACACAGATCGTATATTATTCTCGGGTTTCAAAATGTAGAAACATCTTTTTACTCGACTTCTGATAAGAATCAGGCAGGAGGAGAAAGAGTAAAGTGGAAGGAGGTGTGGAAGGCGGAAACAGAGAGTCAGGTCCCCGCTAGCGGCGGCGAAAAAGGGCGAGTAAGTTCAGTGTCGTTATAAGATGTAGCCGCGGGTGGCACACCGCAGAGTCAGTTAAGCGTGAGTGAGTCAATTAAGGTTGTAATTCTTATGTGGGTAGGTTGTCACACGGGAACCGGTGTTTTTCACTGGGATGCGGGGAGCGTCTGAGAATGCTAATAAGGCTATTACTGTGGGTTTGTACTGAATAAAAAGAAATTGACCGCTAAACGTTTAATATACTCTTGAATAAGTTCGATTTGAAGGTCTCTATGAATGTAGATGTTTGGATATAATAATGACCACATAATACTGTATATTATTATATATGAGTATACTGTTACGGATTTCGTATTTAAATAGCTAATGTTAGTTGAATTATAAATTAAATTGTTTTATTCACCGTGCAGTGCAGCGATTGACGAATATTAAAAGAAAGCTAAGCCGGAAAATTAAAAATACAAGAGCACGTGCATTTAATAAATAAATATCTCTTTTTTTATTTTGAGGAAATTCCAGAAAATTCTCGCGCGCGATTTAAAATCTTACAAAAGGAGGAAAACCTCTCAGTTCGTGTGATTTTAGTTAGTTTGTTGTTGTTTTAAGAGTTTGTTTAGAAAACTGCTCTTGTTGACTGCAGCGAATTCGCGGATTAGCTTTCTCTAGCTGTTTTGAATTACGTTCTCTTGAACATTTGAGTAGTTAAAAGATAACTACTGTGAGATATTGTAATACTGAACGAATATCTGAGGAAAATTAAGCATTTTTGTTGTGATAATAATAAATTTTGTTTCATCGGACTTATGCATTCATTTCGTAACGAACCCGTACGCACGCAACAATATAAATGATATGGGATATAGCTTAAAGTATTTAAATCATTTCCGTATCAATTAATGGCCATAGTGGCTAAGGTAGCAGAAAGGAGGAGGAGACTCAGAAAGTATTCAGTAAAGAGGAGGATAAAATTGAGCATTGTAACGATTTTCTCTTGAGAAGTTTAAGCATTTTGGTTTATTTGTTCTGACAATAATAAATTTTGCTCATTTTTCATCGGACTTGTGCATTTATTTCATAACGAACCCGTACGCACGCAACAATACCAAGCAGCATTGATAATTTGTCGTAGAATTTGCAAAATTTGTAATTGTTTAATATTGGTTTTAGCTGCATGTCCCCTGATCGGAGCTGCATAAAGGAGGGCTGGACGAAGTATGGAGCGATATAAAATTAATTTGTTTGTAATAGATAAGTTGTTTTTTCTACCAAGAAAAAGTCGCATAGTAGCTGCGGTGATTTTAAATTTTTGTACTACGGAGCGGAAGTGGGTTCTGAAAGTAAGTTTTGATCAAGGGTGACTCCAAAGTATTTGGTTTCATTAATCCAGTCTATTTCTTCGTCAAATATTTCAGGGAGTAGAGGATAGTAGGTGAAGTTTTACATTATGGTAACTTAAAGATTTTTTGGCGAAAATTTGGCGACCAACCCTGCTACAGCAACCTGTTAGTTTTGTTTTGGACGCCATTTTGTTTTCACGAAGTGGCATGTTTCTTTTTTTTTTTTTTTTTCTTTCTTTTTTCTTTACTCAACATTTTTTCCAACAATCTGCTAGCCGAATTACGCTTATACTAGAACTTTTATGGAACAAAAATGCTTAATCATGACGAAGATCAGGTGCAAAATCGGGAGAAAATGCAGAATCGCAAACTGCTTCCCGCGTTTTTAAGAATGGCACATACACTGTATCCATGTACACGTCGACCTATTTTCACTTAAAAAACATCCCAGAATTGCACAAAAATGGCATTGCGCACACTCTTGACTTTATCTATTTACACATCGACCTATTTTCACTTAAAAAGTCAGAGAAAATTGACAAAAATCCAATTCTTCTTACTCTTGTAAAAAGCGCCAAACAAATAAGTGGGCGATAACTTTAGCAGCGAAATTGTTCCTAAGTTCTTATTAGCTAAAATCACGATCGGAATTTTCCGGAAAATGTCATAGTACATGTCTCATGAACTCTCATCTCTCTGAGACAAAATAATCTGTGATTCGGACTGTGTACTTCTCAGATTATTGTCCTAGCTAGTAACCTTTATCGCCTTACCAAAATGTCGCCAAACTACCTGTTACCATATTCTAAAGATTAGCCTTTTAAACTGATAGGGCGATAGTTCTGTGGGAAGGTTGGATTTTTTTGCGGTTTAGCAAAAACAATTATTATAGTTTGCTTCCATGAGTTAGGAAAATGAATGAATTTGATAATGTTGTTGATTATCTTAGTTAGGCAGGTAAAGGCCCGTTTACACTAGCGAAACTTTGGTCCCAAGAAGCGTACAGTAACGTCCTAAGAAAAGTAACCTAAGTCGAGCGGTTAATCTTCAAAGGGAATTGACGTAAACCCAAGAGATGGAAAATTTTAACTCCGAACCTATGAGATGAAAGCTTTGGCCAATCACAGACTTACAAACTATCACGAGGGTTTTGTTGATGCTTTAAGCGAAAAACATGGCGAAAGATTTGACTACGTCTGACTGCAAATTAATTGCAGAAGTGCAACAACATTCGATTTTATGGGATAATAGAAAAAAAGAATATCGAATGAAAAGAGGACAAGACGTTGCTTGGCTACTGGTTGCTGAAAGACTGAACCGAGATAGTATGTATCCATTTATTTATTTTTTTGCTCCTTTCGGATTACAACGTGCTCTCTTTTATTCTAGTTCTCTTTCGACTAACGCAATTGTTCAAGTACAAAATAGGTTTAATAACGATTACACGATAAAAATTTGTTGACATATATTAAATTATAGCATTTTAGAACATTTCTGAAAATCTGAGTTTTATAAAATTTAAATAAGCTCAGTAGATGGATTTTTTTTAAATTAAAGTTTATTAACTGCTTTAACCCTTAGCCTGTCGAGTGATTTTCTGCGAATCCCTTTAAAACTGTAGCTAGTTTTGGACCGAACTTCCCGTAAAATGTCGCGAAAATAACCCTAAACCTCTGAAAATTGTCAAGCAGTTCTTTTGTTATTTCCCATCCCTCCCAGAATTTTACTTCAATGATTCCGCTAAGTGAGATTGGTTACTGATATTGTTCGGTAGATGTGAGCTCTCAAGAGAATTCAAAAGGCTAGACTCTCCGTGATGACCGTCTTAATGCCGCAGGGGGTACAGCTGCCAAACTTAAAAGTTTCCTTCCCTTAAACAATCTTATCTCTACATATCTTCTCTACATATAATAAAAGTATTAGTAGTAAATTTTATCTGAAATAGGAAAGATGAGACATATTAATAACAAACAAAGCAATTAATTTGGAAGTCAAAGAACAAAAATCAGCGTTATATTTTCAAATTTTCACAGGACTAGTTTCGATGGTTTTACCGAACCATCATCTTCAGCTGCAAAAGCGCAAATGAACGAGATAAGATATAATGAAAATTAGATTGAGAAAATTTGAAAATATAACGCTGATTTTTGTTGTTTGACTTCCAATTTAATGTTTGTTCGGCTTGTTATTGTATCTTAATTAAACAAAGCAATGTTGTTACTTATTAGCTTACAATATAATTTATTTCAATATGGTATTTTTGTAAAGAAAGAGTGTTGCTGTACATTTGGTAAAGTATAAATAAGCATTTCATTTAATAATTATAAAAGTTATTAATTATTTAATAATTAATCATAAGAATATGAATAATTAAATATTTTTTCGGAGATATATTTTCCGGCGATATTTTTTTTCTAGGGATCCCAGCATACACTTTTCAAGCATTATGCTCTAAATAAATGTCTTGTTTAAACATAGCATTTATTGTTGACAAATCTCCAACCAAAAGAAATACCTTACTAGGGAGGATATTCAACAAAAATTTTATTAGAATAAATATTTTTCGTTATTTTAATACTACTAATAATATACAAACATTAGTTTAAGTTCACTATAGTTGAGTGAATAAGATTGCTGGATGTTGGTATTTTGTTGTTGGCAACCGAACAGTTTAGCTGCTTGTGGTATTTATGATTTTCCCGATGCGTAACGTGAATTCAAGCCAATTTTATTTAGAAAATTGCCCACGAAGGTATTCTCTTAAAGCAGATAACCAATGACTTCTTAAAAACTGTAAAATATAATCTGTGGATATTTTCCGTTATACGATAACACGAAGAAAATGATTTCCTTTACGAAACATATGATCAGCGCTGTTATTGCCCGCCGTTTAATTAAATGCATCCATCTTATTCCTTACAATTAATTTTTCTTTTTCAAAGAAAGTTTGATTTCAGTAAAATGTACCATTTACAATGTTTCATTTTATTTTGCTCGTTTTTTATGCAAATATTCAAATTTAGATAGATATTGCGTAAGTTCAGAAAGCCAACTAGTCTCCAAGCGGTAAGATAGCTGAGCACCGGTAAATTCTAGCGGCTGCATGGGAGGTTTAGGGGTTTTTCATA